TTTTTCTTTCCTCTTGAATGGAAGGAAAGTTGTATCTTGCAAGTGCTTTTCATCCGTTATCGAAATAAAAGTATTTGCATTATTTTTCCTACGTTTTTCTCCTACGTTCCCTCTCAGATTTTCTTGCATTTGGCTGTTTTTCTGCTGTGGACAGCAGTTTTCCTTTGGATCCTCTTGGTTTTGGTGTGAAACACTTGGAAATCCAAGTGTTTCCTATCAAATACCTAATCTTGGTAATCATAATCCAACAAGTTCATCCCAAGATTAGGGTTGGCTAATCAATAGTCAAGTTCCATTGATGGACCAAGAAAGCAAACCAAAAATTGCCAATTTAACACAGATTAGGTCAAGCCATTTGAAGAAAATGTAAACCTACTGATGCGAACCACCGCCGACGCCGACCGGCAGAGGGAGGGTCGGCTACCCCGCGGCGCGCAGAAGCAACCAGAACGGGCGCCGCGCCGTTCGATCCGCCGAAGCAGGGACGCGGGAGGGGGACGCGGAGTGGGACGGGGCCGATCGGCTTGAGCGGAACCGGTCCATTTCTGGACCGGTTTGGCTCAGGTCTAGCCTGAGCTGGGCGATTCAGTTTGGGCAGCCCACTAGTGGGTTTGGTTGGGTCTTTGCTTGCCATAAGTAGGGATTAAGGGGGGATTTCTAGGGTTATGCAAGATTTGAGTTTTCTCTTAGCCTCCTTAGTTTCTTTCTCTTGTTTTTCTAGGGTTTGTAGTGGGAGACCTTGTCCTTCTCGAAGTGGACAAATTGTATCTTGTTTTCCATTGGATTTAGATTGCAAAGGTTTTGGTTCTTCATCTCATCCCTCTTGTGTTGATTTTTTCTTTGATTTGGAGGAGAAATCTTTTCTTTGAAGGAGCATTAGGGCAAGCTCAAACTTGGGAATCCTAGGGCGTATCACCTACATGGTAGATAAATACTACAAGGAGACCAACCAACTTGGGTTGGCCTAATCTATTTAGACAAACTGTACGAAAACTAAAAGAAATAATGTTTGGAATGTCTAGGAAAATAATAAGCTGGCAAATTAGTCACACACAACGCTATTAGAGCAAGGAGGAGACAGTTCAGGTGATAACAAGAATCTAAGAAATCCAAAGACATTGGCCATTGGAGCAAGGAGGAAACATTTGAGGTGCGAGAAGCATTTATCAGGTTTTCTGTTTTCCATTTTTTTTGCTTATGATTATTTCTTTTCCATGAGAACAATGATCTAGTCCTTGAGGGTTTTCTAGCCAATCAGCCTCCCTCTTCCCACAGTTTTGGATACAAAAAGGATCTTGGTAGCTTAAGGACCTTGGAACAACCACCTAAATGTTGGCTGCCACTATAGAAGCGCTGAAGGTCCTTGGGCAAATTCTGATGAGACTGATTTTACCAAATCTAAGGAAGAATAGCAGGTTGTTGGTCTAATTTTGGTGATTGTAAAGGCTGCCAGCTTTGTGCAATCTAGTTTTTTTTTTTTTAATTACCTCTCTTGATTGGTAGTTGTTAACAATTTTTCATAGTTGCTCTATGTTATAAGGTGTCTAGCCCTACTTTATTTCCATTCAACTGGTGTTAATTGCTCAAGGAATTTTATTAAAATTGTATTTAGTAAAATATATAAGTGGTTAGAAAAGAGGATAAATAGGAGACTAGCTGGTATTTAGGAGATTACCACTTTTCATGCAAATGATTAGGATAGTTTTCACATTTCATGCCTGTAATTTAGAAAGTTTCATAACTAGCACATGAAATTAAGATTAGATAAAGAATTGATTAAGTTTTATTAGAATCATTTGTAGTCTTTAAGCAGATTTTTTTTGTATTATTTTACAATGTTGTTTCATAGCATTGGATAAAACTTCATCTCAAAAATAATGCTTAATTAGTTTCCAATTATCCTCTCCCACTCCCTAAGGCTCCTAAGCTCCTTGGTCAATCCCCCATTCTCTCTCTCTCTCAAAACATTATGTCAGACCCCCATTTCCCATTTTCTCTCTAGAAACACCCTGCCTCCTCACTTTCTCTCTTTGCCCAAAAAAGGTCAAGGTAGGCTATGATTTAATTCCTAAGAAAAGGAACGAGAAGGAACAAAAACAAGAGAAATAGAAGGACAAATAAGGAAAAGCAATCCAATAAGAGAAAGAAAAAAAGAAAAGAAAGTCATCATCCCATTCTAAGGCTATCTATCAAAATCTAATTTTCATTATTCACCTTCATCTCCTTCTGGCAATAAATATAACTTGTTTAATTATCCAAATTCTTATTTGGTTATATTTAGTTGGAGCTTTTATGGTGCCATAAACCCAAGTCCACAACTTAAAAATCTACCTATCCATGCATCAGTCCACACATTCACCAAAGATTCAACACTAACCTACAAAATTGAGAGTGGGCCCACTTATGAAAAGAAAATTGAGAGTAGGCCCACTTATGAAATCTTTTCAGATTCAATATTAAATCCTCAAGTAAATCACACCACCAAAGTATTTCTTTAGATATATGCACACAACTACACATATTAAATTGGCATATATATGTTTCTCTTTTTTAAAGTCTTGCAACATGTTAACCCTTCCTGCAATGCTTTTTTCCATCAAGTCTATTTTGATCTTCTTTTGTCTCTTTCGCAAGAAGACACCTCTTCAACACCTTCTTGAAGTAACCCTCATCCCATGTGGTCACCAAGATATCCATTGATCGACACCATCACCATTTGCAAACCTTCAAATCCCTTATCTAAATCATTTCCAAAGCCAACATTCGACTCTTGCCATTTACCACCTCACTAGCACCATCCGAACCTATGTAGTGCTAAATGAGTGGTTGGATGTACCGTGCATATAAACACCGTTCACCTCAAGATTCTCATAGTTCCTCATCCTTCTTGTTAAATCTCGTTTTGTTCGAAGGATGATATCGAACCGTACTTCGTATTTCCTATGAACTAAAGGCATGTGGGGAGAATGTAATGAGGTTTGAGTATGAAAGAGGAAACATGAAGATGAACCCGAGAGAGGTATAAATTTAGACAATCTTTATTATCTAAACCAGATATACAAGAATAATCAAAACGAGAGCTCTGAACTATTGAGCTTGAGTAGAAAAGGAAAAATGATACAATATTTCCTATTTATAGGGTGTGATATCTCTCGTTTTTCTCTCTATCATCCCTGTTCTTTTGTATATATAAGAGAAAAAAAAGTCTTTTTTATGTCGTCCCTCCTCCCCCTTCTATAGGGTTCAGAAGGATGTAGAGATTATGTCCTGGATATGGGAGCTATCCCATCAATCTTTTATTGTAAGACAATCGTTTGTGCGAGTAGAATGGCGGTTGAGAAGGGTGAGCCGAGTAAGGTCGATGATGAATTGGGGTCGGCCCACTGACATGAGGTGGGGAGAGTAGCATTTGGACGTGGTCTTCAGGTTGACGTGAGAGATTTTTTAAGAAGCGATGCGTGTCGTTGGCTATTTGATGCATCTCGCATGGGAAACTTGATTTAGAATTAGATGGATAAAGATATGTCTAGCTAAGAGAGGAACTTCTAGGGTAGCCTTTGCAAGATGGGGGGACAACTTCCTGGAGGATGTGGCCGGTGCTAGTCGTGGTGCTCCAGTGTTAAACTCGTTCCAGCTTCTAATCGAGTCCCTCAAACGAACGATTTCGAGAGAGGAGCAGGTCCCCATTCCATTCGACCCGAACATAACATTCAAGATACCTACAAACGGGTATCTATACAAATAGTCATGGATGTACACATTTGGTGTAAGCAACATCGCTAGTCTCAATCAAAGACATTGAGGTTGAGAAAAGAAGAACGAGAGCATGAGGATAAAATTAGGAGCCTAATCCTGTAAACAATAGAGCCGTAAAAACATACAAGACCTTTAAACATGTTTCAACCAATTCAGTTGACATCATTCAGATTTGATTCCATCAACAGTTTTTTGGGGATTGACATCATTCAGATTTGATTCCATCAACAGTTTTTTGGGGATCTGGCTAGCTATACATCCCAATCAGAAGGTCAGCTCTATGTTCAATTGCTTGAATTAGCCAGTTTGTCCAGCAAAATTTAAAGCATTGTATAGCACAAAATTACATATATCATTGGTGAATAATGAGATTTAAGTGGCAAGGCGGCAGGCCCAAGCGTTCAAAGATTGATGCCCTTACAAAACCAAGGCTTATCATCATCACCCGGCAAACGTATATACTCCTCTTAGAAAAGAGCTGGAAGAAGAGAAAAAGTGGTGAAGGCTTGATTACCATAATATTCCTTTTCTCCATTGGTAACAACAACCAAACATTATAACTCATGCAACATGAGTAGTTGAAGTGAGCTAGACATCATTTTCTCACTCATCGGACAATTTGGTTTCCAAGTGCCTGGTCTAATCACTACTTTTGCTCTGCCATGCTGATACCCCATAGGAAACAACATAAACTATGCGTATAAGCGCTCACCCAAAAGCTCCAAAAATTCACTTGTTCAGAAACAACGTTTCAATTAAGGTTTGTAGATAAAGTTCTTTTAACTTTTCATCTGTAGGAAAGTGATTGCAACGTCCCCAGAAAGGACTCAATTTGTTATAAATATCAAACAGCAACAGAGCAATAAAGCAACCTGTTGACCAGTTGAAGTATAGGAGTTTCCAACATATTTCTACAACTGCGAGTTGGAAACACAAGGCAGTGAATCCAACTTAAAAAAAAGGGAAAAAAAAATGAAAGACTTAACATTAGTTGCATTACGAAAGTCATCAATGCAAAACTGAGCTGTCCGAAGAAAATTTTTTGTATGTTGTGTACATCCTAGAAAAGACCACCTCAAAATAATCCTCAAAGAAAAAAATTACAGCCCAGATTTTTTTCCTAAACAGTACTTAAATGAGTCAACACAGTCAGTCTACAATAGCTGCAATCAGTTTCAGCATAACCATTCCACATTTAATACCAACTAATACATCCAAAAATAACACTACTCATAGAATTTTACCTTATGCCCCTTCAATTGCATAACTTTCGAAACCTCCTTCACAGAGCCATCCTTTGCATACAGGATTTCCCAAACCTAAAAAACAGCCAATAAAATGTGATTTATCATTTAAAAAAATTAGCATAACCTCACTTGAAAATTACATCACCGAGCAATACTAGGCATTCAATGTATGTATACAGGATTTTCCAAACCTAAAAAAAAGCCAATAAAATGAGATACATACATACATACACACAAATATATCATACAATTGATGATGATGTTACAATGAAAGAACAACTCCATGATACTGCTTCAACATATTTGAGATGGTGTTACGGCAGGAGGGGAGTGAGCGGAATCAAGAATGGAGCCATGGGGAGGGTTCGACCAGCCTTTTGGGGCCAGGAGAGCTGTCATGCATTATGGAAAGAGGAGAAATCAAGGGGAGCTGTTTATGAAGAATTATGTTTATTGTGTTAAGGAAGATTTACTAAATTATATTTATGTTGTTTAGAAATGTTCTATTTGTGTTAGTGCGTGTTAGGCTATTTAAGATAATTTTGTCTAGGGTTAGGAGAGGAGATAATTGGTGTTGCTGTAGTTTTATTTTGGAGAGCTTACTAGTGGCGTCTACAATTCGTGGGAGAGCTGATCTACCTCTCAAATAGTATATCAATTATATCTTTCTATCTTGTTGAAGAGATGATGTAGGCAAAAAATTGCCTATTGGTGTTCCCCATGTTGTCTATTCCCTTCCCTAACTATTTTCTATGAAATGTTGGCTCCAAAAGTAGTAGTGACTGTTGGTTTCCTGCTGTTTTTCTAGGCAGATTTATGGCTGCTATTTTTTTCCTGGGCTGGCCGTGCCTTGCCTTGGTGTCTGTTGGAATTCCTGGCTATTTGGTTCCTGGGCTGGTTGTTTGGATAATGGCTGCTTGGTTCCTGGGATGGTCGTGCCTTATTCTTTGGGTTTTTTTCCCCTGTTTTGATTGGAAGCTTGGGTGGCACTTGTAGGAGGCCGTTTGGATTCTTTTTTCCTACATATATGATTGTTTGCTACTGTTTTAAAGAGAGAGTTTTTGATGATTTTTGGAATGTAAACTTGCGGGTTTCACTAGCTTGCGAGCTATCTTCCTCTACCCTACTTCTATTTCGTCTCAGACCTTCTACCTACATATTCTCTCCATAGTTTTTCATTCCATCAGTATCTTTCTTCTCTAAAAAAATATAAAAATTGTAAGGTGTCTTTGAGTCGTATTTGTAGGGTGTCATTGTATCGTGTTTCATGTTGTGTCCTTTTTATTTGAAGTTGTAAGGTAGTGTCCATTTCATAATAGTAGTGTTATATGCTATCAGTGTTTAGTCTTTTGTTTTAAGGAAATGAAGACTTTGAGTTTGCAATCTTAATTGTGTATTTTTTTTATTTGCATCAATTTGGTATCAAAGAGTCAAGGTTATCGTGTCTTTTTTTTATTAAAAAAAATGAATAGTCAAAACAATCAACAAAGCCATAAAAATTCTGAGAAAGATAAATATGAAGAAGAAAGTCAGTTAATTATGTCTTGGATTCCAAAGGACAAATTTCCAACAACAAAATGGGTTCCATCTAATCATGTTCGTCTAATCCTCTACAAATCGAACTTCTCAAAATTCGAAGATATTTATATTTATGTATAGAAAGATATGAAGCTAAGAAGCTTCAATTCCTATCCGAATTTGAACGAGAAAAGGAGATCATCAAAAGAAGGCATGACATGCTAATTCAAGAATCGAAAATGCCATATCTTCATAATTTTGAATCGAACTCATCAGGAGATCAGATTTCTCCATCGAGGGAGAATTGATGTAGGCAAAAAAATTGCCTATTGGTGCTCCCCATGTTATCTGTTCCCTTCCCTGGCTATTTCCTATGAAATGTTGGCTCCAAAAGGAGTGGTGACTGTTGGTTTCTGCTATTTTCCTAGGCAGATTTATGGCTGCTATTTTTTTCCTGGGCTGGCCGTGCCTTTCCTTGGTGTCTGTTGGAATTCCTGATTGTTTGTGATGCGGACATCGGCACGAAGATTTGGCGCATCTATCACAGGAGGCGTCGTAAATCGACGGCTATAATTTAAATTGTCATTTATGAGTTATTTTCTGAATTTTAGCTCTTATTTTATGTTATTTCATGTTTTACCCCTAGGTTAGTTTATGTGAGTGTTGTGGCCCAAGAGGCAATTTTATAATTTTGAGTTTTTCTTATGTTGTGGCCTATATATATGGCCTTAAACTATTGTAATGGGGATGAAGATTTGATATTAAAAAAATTTGTGTCCACACTTGTGTTCTTCTTGTAAGAGAGCGTTAGTGAGATTCCTATGGAGAGGAATCAGAGTTTTCACCAGCCGCAGGATGGGTCCGGACTCGTGACTTGAAGTCCCTTGAAGAAGGGCAAAGCATCACCCGTCAGTCTTCGGAAGAGTCCAAGGCTCGCGTTTTTTATTTTTTAATCTTTCGTTTCTATCTTTGTTTTTTTTTTTCTTTTGTTCCTTCTTGTTGTGTCATCCTCTACCTCCGTCCACCATCGCCGTCTCCATTTCCACCATAAGCCGCTGGCCACCTCACCCGAAGATCCACCACAAACTGCCGGCCATGGCTCCCTAGCCGCCGGCTTCATCCTTTCCCCTCTCTCCTTGGATTTCCTAATTAGGGGTGCATGATATTAGGAATTAATTTGAAATTCAAATTGTTTAAAATTTGAAATTCAAACTTCTTTCTTAATTTAGTCCACCTATTTTTGGAAAGTGATTAATTGAAATCAATTTGAAATTTAAATTCAAATCTGATTTATTGTCTCACTTTCATAACTCCTAAATTCAAATCCATGAGCCTTAAACCTCCACATTTGATTTGACATTCAAAACTTTCCTAATTTTCAACTTCTATTTTAGGAAAGTTCATTCATGCAATCCTATTTGAATTTTGAATGAGAGGGGATTTGACTAAAACTTTCCAAATCTCATAAATTTAAACTTGGAAGTCACATTAACTCTCTAAATCCCTCCTGCTTGGTTTTGAAATTATTTCCTAAAACCCCCACTTTGTTTTAGGAAATGATTTAAATTTCCTAAGCCTTATTCCCTATTCTTACCCCCCAAATCAATTCACGGGTTTACTGGACTTTATTTCCCTATTTTCCTAATTCAAATCAAGGATTCAGTGATTTGAATTCCCTCAATTTTCAACACCGCTCAAATCTTTCCTAAACACCTCCTTTTACTTTGGGAATTAAATTCCATCATAACTCACTGCTGGCTGAATTATCCCAAGCTCCTTGCATTGATTTTCTCCACCAAATCCTGCCCACAATTCCTCCTGCAAAGAGTCTTCCACGTACTAGTGCTGCAGCCAAGGATTTCCCACTCCTGACTCCACGTAACAGCTTGGGAAATAAATCCCCCCCCTTCTCAGCAGCTTTTGGAAACAAATCTTGGTTCCAAAATCTGAAACCCTTTCCAAGCCTCTCCCCCTTTCTTCCCACGTTTCTCAGGCAACCATTCTACACCTGAATGTGAAGTCCATTGTTCCTCCCTCCAACACCTTTCTCCTAATACCTTGAAACTCTACATCCAAATTCTGCTAGCTGTCCCCACTCTCCAGCCAGGAAAAACCTGCTGTCCTGTACCCGTGGAAGCCTAAAAACTGCTGTTCAAAAGGATTCCAGCTGCCTACAATAGCTACCAAAGGTTTATACAAGTGGTAAAGGTTGCTGTCCAGAATTTCTCAAGTGTCAAAGTTGCTGTCCAGCATTCGTAGCCATCTCCTATTGCTGTCTCCCTACCCACCTACCCGTTCTACATCAGTTTGGTTCCTGGGCTGGCTGCTTGGTTAATGAGCTGGCCGTGCCTTGTTCATTGAGTTTTTTCCCTCTGTTTTGATTGAAAGCTTGGGTGGCACTTGTAGGAGGTTGTTTGGATTCTTTTTTCCTATATATATGGTTGTTTGATGTTGTTTTAAAGAGAGTTTTTGATGATTTTTGGAATGTAAACATGCAAGTTTCACTAGCTTGCGAGCTATCTTCCTCTACCCTACTTCTATTTCGTCTCGGACCTTCTACCTACTTCTTCTCTCCAAGATTTTTCATTCCATTAGTATCTTTCTTCTCTAAAAAATATAAATATTGTAAGGTGTCTTTTGAGTCGTATTTATAGGGTGTCATTGCGTCATGTTTCATGAGTATATTTCTTCCTTTTTATTTGAAGTTGTAAGGTGGCGTCCATTTCATAATAGTATTGTTATATGCTATCAGTGTTTAGTTTTTTGTTTCAAGGAAAGGAAAACTTTGAGTTTGCAATCTTAATTGTGTATTTTTTCATTTGCATCAAGAGATAATCAAATCTCAAACCTAATCTTTGGATTCTTGCATTTTTCTTATTGCCAACTTGCTTTTTTTATTTCCAAGGCACATCAAATTGGTACCAGAGCCAGGTTTTGGGAGAGATGGCAACAAAAAAGATGGATGCATTGGAAGGCGAAGTGGAGCAAATCAAATCCGGGATGGAGGAGAAGTGCTCAACCATCGAAGGGAAATTTCAACCATGGATGGAAGGTTTTCATCCATGGAAAAGCGATTTGGAGGGTTGGAGGAGATGAAGAGGAAGCTCTTGAAGATGCAATCAAAAACTCCACTGGCGATTCCGATGGCTAACCCTAAATAAGATTTGACCAGGATTCCCTTGGCCGAATTGAGAAGGGAAAGGAGATCAGACATGAGGAGTTCGACGAGAAGAGTCTCTTTCATCAAGAGCCTGCTCTTTTTTTTTTTTTTTTTTTTTTTATCAAGAGCCACCTACTAGGGCTCCAAAAAGGGCGGATTAGGGTTTCCGGATGAGGGGATAGCAATAAGGGAATTTTTTGGTGAAGGTGATAGGGTGGCCGACCACTATGGGTGGCATTTCGGGCAAGGGAAATGGGCCATCGGAGGAGGGGGTCAAGGGTCACCTCATAGGGCTCCGATAAGGGGCAGAATAGGGTTTTTGGATGAGGGGATAGCATGAAGGGAGTTTCTTGGTGGATGTGGTGGGGAGGCCGACCACTATGGGGGGGCTTTTGGGCAAGAAAAGTGGACGACCCGAGGAGGAGGGCAAGCTGAGCCATGAGGATTTGGTCATGCGATGCGGGCGGAAGAAAGGTGGGATTCCTACCCTCGATACACGAGGGAAATATGGAGGGATCAAGGTAACCGCTACACTAGAGAAGGAAGTAGCTATTAGGGCAATGGCAATACTAGAACGAGAAAGTTAAAGATGTCAGTATTGGAGGGAGGATGCCCATGGTTGGGTATATCAGGAGGAAAGGTATTTCGCGGTGAATGGGTTGAGAGAGGAGGAGAAGCTTACAGCCGCAAGGCTATGTCTGAAAGGGAAAGCTCTTGCCTGGTTCCAATGGAGGGAGGCTAGATATCCAATCCATTCATGGGAGAAGTTTAAGGATTGCTTGTTGGAATGTTTCTGAGCTATACAGGAAGGAGACCTATGCGAGCAATTCCTTGTCTTTACTCAGGAGGGAACTATCTGGAGTACAAGGAAAGATTTGAGTTGCTATAGGGGCCGTTGAGGGGAGTCTTAGAGGCGGTGTTGGGGGGAAATTTCGTGAAGGGCATCAAACCTGACATACGAGCGGACCTCCAAGGGTTGAAGGAGACAACGAAGCTAGCCCATATAGTGGAGGATCAGAGACAGATGGAGATGGTCGATAAGAGTGGAGTAGTAGGAGGATCTTACAGAAGTGCCTCGACTTCACTGCCACCAAGAAACCAGACGGCGTATTTTCAATAGGAGGCACTGAGGCAAAATATTAGGGGAGTTTGCCATGGGACCAACTTCAAGCATCTCACAGAGGCAGAGCAAGACAAGAGAGCGAAGGGTATCTGCTTCCGCAGTGATTTAAATTATGCACCAGGCCATTGGTGCAAGGACCGCACACTCCAAGCCCTTATGGTTTGTGATGAGGAGGGGACCAACAGCGAGGATTTTGTGGAGGAAGCAGAAGCGGGAGGAGAGCACCTACACCTTAATGTGACAGAAGTATCTCTTAATTCAATGGTGGGATTTATTCCAAATCACACCATGAAGGTGAAAGGACATATCACGGGTATCCAATGGTGGGATTGGTGGATAGCAGGGATACTCATAACTTCATCTCAAATCGGGCCGTAGACAGTTGGGATTGAAGTTGGTGGATACAGGGAGCTTTGGAGTCATGATGTGAACAAGGATGGTGCAGAGGAGCAGAGAGATTTGCAGGAGGTTGGTGCTAATATTCCAGGGCCTACATATTATGGAGGATTTTCTTTCCCTTGGATTTAGGAAACGCTGATATGATCTTAGGGATAAAGTGATTGCAGATAATGGGGAAAACGAAGGTGGACTGAAAATCTTTGACGATGGAGATTCAAGTGAAGAGGAAGAAGGTGGTGCTATGAGGAGTAGAATCATGGTTTCACTCAAAACCATGATCAAAGTCATACAGGGAGCAGGGATGGACCATAGTTTAAAATTGCGCAATCTGAGGCGCGCCTTTGCGCAATTTGCTTCAAAATATCCTCAAAGCCTACGTAATTCTCAGGCATCATGAGTCGTACGCCTTATGTGGAGTGAGGCGCGCCTCACAAGCGTTTTTGCGCAATTTCCTTTGAGGCATACGCCTCAAATATGGGGGCCCACTTACTTAAAAAACCTCTTAAATTCTTCCTTATACCCACTTAACCTTCCGAAGACCCACTTACCCGACCAAAGACGTCAACCGAAGTCGCGCAGGAAGCACGCAGACACCCGATTTGGCTCTCCCGCACGTTTCCACCACCTCTCTCGCCGGCGCCGCCTCTCGCCGGTGAGTCATTTGTTTCCGGCCTCCCCTCTACATCACTTCTTCAAGTGTTCTTAAGGTTCTTTTTAAGTTTAGGGTCTGATTTTTCAACTTATAGGAAAGCTAGGGTCATAATTCTTGGTACTGCTAGGTACATACTCGATACCGCTAGGTACATGCTCGGTACTACTATGTACATGCTCGGTACTACTATGTACATGCTCAATACTGCTATGTACATGCTCGGTATTGCTATCTACATGCTCGGTACCGCTATGTAAATGCTCAGTACCACTCAGTACATGCTCGGTACTGCTCAGTATATGCTCAATACCGCTCAGTATATGCTCAATACCGCTCAGTATATGCTCGGTACAGCTAGGTATTTGCTCGGTACTGCTAGGTACATGCTCAGTACCGCTCAGTATATGCTCGGTACAGCTAGGTATTTGCTCGATACTACTAGGTACATGCTCGGTACCACTCGGTATCTTCCCATACAAATAACTTACGAACTTTAAAAACAAATAGAATTTTAAAATTACTCTTACAATAAAACCCCCACAGGGAGAGCCACCCAGACGTTCAAGCAGCTAAAAAAGCCATGTCGAGTGTCCCTGTGTTAGCACTACCAGATTTCAGCCAGCCATTTGTAATGGAGATTGAATGCACCAGGCTATGGGTTGGGGGCAATCGTCATGCAAAGTCAGAGACCCATAATCTATTTCAATTTTCAATCAGGTGTTGGCCACTAGGGCCAGGATGAAATCGATGTATGAAAGGGAGTTGATGGCAATAATGTTGGCAATACATAAGTGGCATTCTTACCTGTTGGGGTGACACTTCATAGTTAGGACCGATCTGAGGAGTTTGAAGTTTCTGCTAAAATAAAGGATGGTGACCGAGGAGCATTAGCAGTGGCTTTTCAAATTATTCGGTTATGACTTTGAGATCCACTACAAGGCCGTATTGTAAAATAAAGCTGCATGGGAGCCATAAAAGATGATCAGGAGACGATTCTCATCCTTCCATCTTGAGTACAATGTTCATTTTTTGTGAGGGAGTATTGTTACGCCAAGAGGGGGCTGGGTGGAATCTGGAAGGGAGCCAAGGAGATGGTTCGATTAGCCTTGTGGGGGCTTCTCTGAGCTATCATGCATTATGGAAGGAGAAGAATTCAAGAGGATCTATTTAGGAATATTTCTTTTTTTTTAAGGAATGTTTCCTAATTATGTTTATTGTGTTTAGGAAAATTTCCTAAATTATGTTTATGATGTTTAGGAAGATTCTATTTGTGTTATTGTGTGTTAGGGCAATTAAGAAAGTTTTTTCTAGATAGAGAGGAGGTAATTTGTGTTTGCTGTAGTTTTATTTTGGAGAGCTTCCTAATAGTGTTTAGGCTTTGTGGGAGAGTTAATCTACCTCTCGAATAGTAGATCAATTATATATTTCTATCTTGTTGAAGATATAATCAAATTTCAGCCTTAATCTTTGGATTTCTGCATTTTTCTTAATGCCTACTTGTTGTCTTTACTTCCAAGACACATCACATGGATTGCACGTTAATGCAAAAAGTAATTCAGGTAGTTTTCTACTTACTCTACAGCAATAACTGTTCCAGAATAATCAGACAGAACTAGTTCAAAGCATATTAAAAAAAAGCCTTACAAACATCAAATAGAGCCTAAATAACCTATTTTCTCCAGCATTACCAAAAGGCAGGCAGATTTGGCAAGCAGAAATATTTATGGAGTTGAGAAATTAAGATTTCACAAGATTTAACTTAAAAAATAAATCAAAGCAAGAAGGAACTTCCTACGGAATTCCCTAAAGATCAAGAGATTATTTTTGTGCATTGCTACATCGTTGTTTTTAAATACGTCACTAGAATGCCATACCTTCACGTCTGCAGTAAAAGCTGCAGCAGCTAGGAAACGTCCGTTGGGAGATATAGTAGCCATGTTATTCTTCAACTGATTTGTGTCAACAGTTGCCAACTCTTTACCACTTTTCCCATGCCACAGCTTAATATCTGTACCTGAAAAGGTATTTAGATATCAATAATACATACACAATTAAACACACACACGCATATATATATATATATATACACACACACATAAAATAATTTTTTTCTTAAGCAATTAATAGATAGATTCAATATTTTCAACATGAAGTAAGAGTTGAGAAAAAATATATGCTAGAAGGTTTCAGGCGAATGAGCCTGGGGGGAATCAAAGGCTGGTTAAGGTGTTTGGAGACCTTCGGTTGCAGGTAGGTGAAGCGCAGCACTTGCAGTAGTTGGAGAATTCTGGTAAAGTAACTAGACGGCAAAAACAAAGAAAGAAAGAAAACATTCAAGTATTAGAGGAAATTAGTAGGTTCTAAAAGATGAAATTTACAGTTTCACTCAATCCAAACTTCAATTAATATTACAAACTTGGTCTATACTTATAGAGATCAATAAATATCTAGAACTTTATTCAAATTTAAGGAAATTAAATGATAGAAACTGGCCCTTCAGAATAGCTTACTCTCCTTTATTCCCTCTTTAAAAAGTAGTCAAACATAAAAAAAGAGAATAAATATTAGAGTTAGATTCTTTAATTGCTCTAATATAGTAATTTGATATAGATTTAATGGTTTTTCTATAGGTACTTTGGGTCGGAATTGAAGATTCGTACCCTGCCTATTGGATAAAGCAAAATGTTCGAAATGAATAATATTAGTGAGACTAGTGAGACTATGTTCAGGCTTTGAGGGAGATGATTCCATTGATTCCTGCAAAACAAAGTAAAATAATTATTAGGAAAAAATTCCTATTTTCTCTATCTTTTAATTAATAAAATTAAGGAGGTTTATAATCTGAAGATCTAGTAACTCTAAATAAATAATCTGCTAGAAATATATTATTGCCTTTAATATGTTCAAAGTTTACTTTGTATCCATTTCCTTCTATTGTTGTAATAAAATTTACCCATCGTTTACTATATATTTTCTTCTCATTTTTATTTTTATAAAAATGTACTATTGCTTCGCAATCTGTTCTTATAATAAATTTTTTTGTAAAAATAATTTAAAGCTATGTAAGGCATTTATTACTCCTAATATTTCATAATCTAAAGAAGTTAATGATTTGGGTAGTTGCTTAAAGCTTCCTGAAGCATATCTACAGAATTGTGCTTTTGACTGAAAAGCTTCTTTATACGATTTTATTTTTAATTCAGCTCCTCAACCATCTTGAGATGCATCTACTATTACTATTTTATAGTCTGTTTCTAAAGGTAGAGCTAATTTTGGTAAGGTTTTAATTTGTGTTTTTATTTTTTGTATTATCTTAATATTTTCAGTATTGAAATACGTTTGTCCAGTTTTACTAGTCTTTTTATATAAAGATTTTATAGTTTTTCCTAAATCTTTTATATATGGACGAGCATAATTTAAAAGACCTAAAAATTTTTGTAATTCTTTAGTGTCTTCTATTTTATCTGGAAATTTTAAGATTTTTAAGGCTATATGATCTTGTAATTCGATTGTACTATTTCCAATTTTTTGACCTAAAAAATCAATATATTCTTTGGTTGCTTCAATTTTCTTTTTTGATAATATAATATCATTATTAATACAAAGTTTTAAAACTTCTTCAATGTGTTTATAATATTCTTTTAAAGTATGCGATGCTATTAAAATATCATCTATATATACCATAACATAATTTAAATGGCCAAATATATTATCCATTTTTCTCTGGAATATACTTGGAGCATTTTTTAGTCCAAAATGCATAATTTCTCATTCACAATGTCCTATTGGAGTAGTAAATGTTGTCCAAGGGATAGAGTTTGGGTGAAGTTTTATCTGCCAAAATTCAGATTTGCAATCAAATTTACTAAAATATTTTTTATCCTGTATTAAATTGATTAACATATCTTTATCTGGTATTTTATATCCATCATCTTCAGTATTATCATTTAGTCTTTTATAGTTGATAACCATTCGTGCTTTATTTCTTTTAATTTCAGCATGATTTCGAACCATAAAAGCTGCAAATCTATGTGGTGATTTTGATGATTTTATTAATTTAATTTTTTTTAATTCATTAATTTGAATAAGAAATTATTCTTTATCTTCAGGTGAATATTCTAATTCTTTAGTTTTAATTATTAAGTCTGGATTTATAATAGATAGCTCAGCTAATTCTTTATTTTTATCCCAATGTTTAATTGGGTCTTCTCCTATAATTTCTATTTCTTCAGCTAATTGGAAAATGTGTTGAATGCTAAAAGTTTGTTGTTTATCAGGTGAAGATTTATATAACTACTAAAATGTCCGTCTAAAGAGAGAATAAAATTGAGGCTTTAAATTATTTTTACAAAAAGAATTTACTATATTGGAAGTATTTACTTCAGCTCTTAGTTTATTAATTTCTTTATTTAAAAATTCTATCTTATTTATACCATTAAAACATATGATTAAGAAATTTAAAGTACGTATCATAGCTTTTGTATCTGATCTATTACACCATAAATTATCTAATAAAGTAATTTGATATAGATTTAATGATTTTTCTATAGGTACTTTGGGTCGGAATTGAAGATTCGTACCCTACCTATTGGATAAAGCTAAATGTTCGAAATGAATAATTTAGGTTTTATGATTATGTACTATAAATAGAGGATTCTCCTCTCCTGTAAGTGTGGTTGTTGTGTGTTTGAATTGTATGAAAGTCTAAATATTAGTGTAAAAGTTGTGAGCTCTTCTTCTTCAAGCAGTAGCCATCTTAAATCTTTGTAAGTCTTTTTCTTTAATATAAAGGCTTTGTTTAATCTTAGTAGTAATATTTCTATTATTTCTTCTTTTATGGATAAGGCATCACTCGTTATGAGTGAGTAGTGGGTTGATTATTTCAATAATTCTATATATCTTTTCTTGATGGATTTGAAACTATTCAGATAAACTTATTAATAAATCTATAATATTATTAGTAGAACTATCATTACTATGCAAACTATGCCTATATTTTGAATCGAAATAATAGCTAATTTTGTATTTATCAAAAATAACTAAATTTTTTCTATTTTGCGGTAATTCTAAATCGAGATATTGTATAATTTTTGGTTCCATGACATTTCTAATGCTCTGATAACAGTTGGAGTTTGGCTAGATAATAAAGATAATAAAAATTTGTGCTAGTTCACAATTCATTTAGATTCCTAAGGTATAGCTAGATAAATTTTTGTGCTATTTATGTTCCTAATGCTCACCATTTTTCTGGTGCAAATTATATAATCTTTCTTACTATTCAAAAATTTATACATAACTAATGTCTTATTCATATATATAAAATATTTAATTTGACTATTAAAAAATTTTGTATGAACTAATTCACTATTCCTATCAATATAATATACTTTAATTAAACGTGCCTCTTTATCATAATTAAGACATAAGGGATAGATTTTTCTAAACCTATAATGAATACATTTATGGCTACAAATTATTCTTTTTTATATGAGATTGGGCAAATGCTTAATCTCATGATATGATTTAATTAGAGGCTAATATTTGTGTTAATTGATTAATACTTATTTGTCTAGCAAAAACTTTTTGGCTAATGTATGTAGTTGCAATTTTGCTACTATTTAAAAATTTATATGAAACTAATATCCTATTCATGCCTATATAATATATTTTTTCACTATTGGAACATTTGCATAAAATTAATGTTCTATTTAGACTAAGATAATAAATTTTTATTAAAGCTAAGTGCCTATGAATCATGCTGGCTACAGGGATAATTTTTCTAAAGCTATATTTTTTGCATCTAGGAGAAGAAGTCATAATTTTATGGCTACTGAGCATATCTTGGAGTAAAATTATTCATTTCTAGTATAACTCTATCACCTATTGTTCTAATTTGTTTGAGTAAATTAATAACTTTATTATTTTTAAGATACCTTCGTAAGGCTGCTAGAATAATATCTAATTCTTCATTAACATGCTCGAATAAAATATCTTCTACTTCACTATTTATATTGTTGAGTTCAACAACAATATCTAAATAAAATGGTACTAAATTATTTCTAATTGCTATAGGTAAATCGGCTCTCAAGCGAAGAACCATTATTTTATCTATGAAGCAGACTGTTTAATTCAGCTAAAATTCTTTTTCCTATTGCTCTAATTTCTTGTGCTCTATCTATGTCAGGATAATTGTCTATATGTCTTTTTATGGCTTGAAGAATTTACTGGAATTCTTGATTAAAATGTTTTAATAAAATTGTATCTATTTCATCATTTATTTCTCTAAGTTCTGCTATAATATCTGCTTCTATTGGTGTTAAATTATTTCTAATTTCTCTAGGTATTTCTTTACGAAATCAGAGAACCATTTTTGCAATTTGTTTTATAGATATATCAAGATGTTTGAAGAATTATTTCTCCCAAACAGATAAGATTTGTTTTAAATTTTTCTTTGATGCCTCATTCTCCATATTTAAAAGTTAAGGGAAAGTCCAGTAATTTTATTTATGATATAAAAATTCTCTGTGACAGGTGCGAGAATAATTCGACATACACCGACTATACAGATATCATGCAAAGATTCAGGAGTATTTTCCACCTGCCCAAAGGTAAAGCATAAATGGGGACTTATGGGGTTCAAACTCATGAATTTTTGGATTCACTGTACTCGATCATAGAGGTCGAAAGTTTTTTCGTCTTTCAAAGAGAACTTGTATATGATAAATATAGAACTAGATTTTAGCTTATCTTCATCAAACAGAGATTTTGGCTGAAAGACAAATTTTCTTAAAGCATTTCTTCCTTATGGGAGAAATAATCAACCCACTACTCACTCATAACGAGTGATGTCTTATCCATAAAAGAATAAATAATAGAAATATTACTACTAAGATTAAACAAAGCCTTTATATTAAAGAAAAAGACTTACAAAGACTTAAGATGGCTACTGCTTGAAGAAGAAGAGCTCACAACTTTCACACTAATATTTAGACTTTCATACAACTCAAATACACAACAACCACACTTACAGGAGAGGAGAATTCTCTATTTATAGTACATAATCATAAAACCTAACTGCGGTATCATTACCGCATATTACATTTGAATAATAATTTTACTACAGTAGAAAGGACGCTAAAGTAAAAAGGAGAACAGTAAAAATGGTACTTGATTATGACTGTCTGTCATACTTATCATGTATCTTTCTATCACCTTATCTGATTTTATCTGTTCTGACTATTTTACCCTTCCATAGCATTTTCTATATTTGCTAGCCCTTTATCATTCATCCCATCTATCCAGAAACGGTCGTTTGCCTCGGAATCTGAGAGGGGCATATTCTGTTCCAGAGTTAAGTTCTGGTAATATGTCTGATAATCGCCTTTAGTGACGATTAGATGTGAAGAAAAAGTCTTGACATGTTCTATAAGATTAATATCTTTGACATAATAACGAAATCTAAATAGTGGTCCCTTGATTAATTTATTATGCAAAAAAATGATCATATTTTTATCTTGGTATGCTGACTATATGTAGAATATAGGTTTTGGAAAACCTCGTCCGTATTGAGCTATCTGCAATGCTCTGTAGTATTTTAAAGACTGATTAGATAACTCTGGATTAGCAGATGAGTGAGGAGTATCATCATACTGTTCAGCTTTAACTTTTTTCGGAGTTTTATGGATTTCTATGATGTGTTTTGCTCCATCCATTAATTTTTCATATGCTGGTCCAATAGAATTTATGATTATAATGATAGAATAAATTCTATAGTCTTCAAAAATATATCAGATGATCCTCTTGAGTTCTGAATGTTCAAAGCATTCAATTTGATCTGATAGTTTGTCGTCTCTGCTTATGATGAGTTTACTCAGTAGCTCGTATTTCATTAATTTTTGAACGGTCCATTGCTGAAATTTTTTGATATGGGTTAAATTAAGGGAAAGATGAATCATGTAGAACCCTGGCATACAAATTTTACAGAGACAGTGTCGATCTTCTGATGCTGATGAAAATAATGTTCTTGATGCATAAGAGATGCTTGACACTTCTTGAAGAAAAGGTCTTGACATGTTCTATAAGATTAATATCTTTGACATAATAACGAAATCTGAATAGTTGTCCCTTGATTAATTTGCTATGCAAAAAACTGATCATATTTTTATCTTGGTATGCTGACTGCATGTAGAATATAGGTTTTGAAAAACCTCGTCCGTATTGATCTATCTGCAATGCTCTATAATATTTTAAAGACTGATTAGATAACTTAATTCACCATAAGATAATCGTACAAACCTTGAGAAAAGACTCATATGGGATGACTTTTCATTAAGAATGAATCAATTTTAAATCTAAGTCATTCGATATTTATATGGATGGGGAAATATGTCAGGATAATTTTACCACCATCCCTCCTTCTAAGTTGAGAAGTAAACTAGTAGTTGATAGCTTAAGTTAAGTGCAAAGAAAATAAGAATGTTAATGTTAATATAAAACAACAACATTATCATCAAGCATTTATCCCACTATGTGAGGTCAATTACATTAATCTTTTTTCTCCATTGTGTCATGTTACGAGTCAAATTCTCATTTAAATCAGATAAAGAAATGTCATTTCTAATGTTTTCTAACCAAAGTCTTTTTAGGTCTATCTCTATCTTTCTTAACATAAATCAAATCTAATACATCTACTTTCCTAACCAAGTCATCAGAAGGTCGCCGTTTTATGTGACCAAACCATCTAAGGAGACTCTCTCTAATCTCATCTTCCACTAGAGCTACTCCAACCTTTTCACTTATATGCTCATTTTGTATCTTGTCTCTGAGAGTAAAGTCATTCATCCACCTAAGCATCCTCATCTCTGCAACACTTGACTTAATATTATGCTTCTCTTTAAATGACCAACATTTTGCACCATAAAGCATTGCAAGTCTCATCACCATCTTATAGAACTTTCCCTTAAGTTTGAGGGGTACTTTTCTATCACACAACAAGCCAGATGCATTCATCCACTTCAACCATCCACTTTGAATTGTACTTATGATATCCCCATATATTTCATCATCACTCTGAACAATAGACCCAAGATATCTAAAACAGTAAAACGTGTACTCTTATTAATGACTTGATTGCCCAAAGTCATAATTCCAACACTAGATCTATTATTACTAAAATTAGACTCCATATATTCAGTTTTAGATCTACTCAAACGAAAGCCTTTAGACTCTAAGGTTGACCTACATAATTCAAATTTACCTTCAAGTCCCTCTCTGGTCTTATCAACAAGAAGAATATCATCAACAAAAAACATACACCAAGGTACAACCTGTTGTTAATGTTAGTATGCAACCAAACTAAAAATGAAAAACTAAAGAATAATTATATTAGGAAAGGTGAGATAGCATCTATTGAAGATTAGGTAGTTGAAAACATATTTAGGTGGTTTGGACGTATATAATGATAGAAAATATGCCACTAAGTGTATAAATAAAATTGAAATAAAAGGATTGAGAAAACAAAAAGGGTAAACCTAAAGTAATGCAGCTAGAATACGTACAAAACGTTTTGTGAATAATTGATTTAACATCTCATCCAATACTCAACGAAAATGAATGAAAAATAAGAATTCATAAAGTCAAGTCCAGAATGTTAAGATGAGGCTCAAAGGAAGAATCTATGGTCAAAGATACACGAAGCTACAAAAGATGAAAAAATAATTCTAAGCTCAACAGCACAAGAAATGATAGAACGAACGTCGCTGTAAGTGACTGAATATCATTTAATTTTAGCTGAATTTCAAAACATAACATAGATCCCACACCTTCAGAGCAGGAAGCAAGGATCATGCTCCCATCAGCAGTTCCATAAGTTGCAGGGACCCCAACAAGAGTCAGCACCGACCTCATCTCATGTATCTTATGATGCTCCCATTTGATCTCCGGAGCAGGAACCTTAGCCTGCTGCTTACTGTCACCAGCAGGTTTCAAAATGACATCCCCATACATATATAGACAGGAACCTGAAAGAACCTGAGCAGCCACAACCAAGGAGGAAGACCCCTCCAAGAAAGCAATGGCAGTAGGTTGCGCACCAGGTGGCAGATGTATCTTCAGAAGCCTACAAAGTTTGAAACAATAATATAGTAGCCAGGATGTTAAAGAAAAGGACGGATATAAAAGAGATAGAGGCCTACTTGAAACTCTTATTGGAAGCATCGTCCACTGTAAAGACCCTAACAACTCCATCGGAACAAGCTGCAAAATAATCAGCTAGTTAAAAGAGCAAGGGATTCCGGCCACACCGGGAATAGAGCAAATTCACTCACTGGTGGCAAGATTCCGGCCATCCGAAGAGAAACAAAGCGCAGTGACAGCATCAACGTGTCCCCTGAGGGTATTGATATCGAGAGGGTGATGTCGCTTGTTCTGATCCTGAACATACGACAAGAACCGATCAAAAGAAGCCGCATCTGAAACCACCAGAAATTATAGGAGGAGAGAGAGACAGAGAGACGAACCTTCTCTGCAGCGTGAGAGTGGTGAGATCTCGCGTGGGCCTTTCGTGAGGAGAGTGGAGGGGGTTTTACAACGTGTTTTTGGTCAGCAGTCTTCAGCTCCAGTGGTTCGGCGATCGTCACGACTTCAGCTCGCTTCCGGCGGAAGTAATCGGCCAATAGGAGCAGAGCAAGAACGCCACCGACGATTGCCGATAGGAGGGGGATGGACACGACGGAGAACCCTAGAACAGTTGGAGACGGCGTCGGCATTTTCAGGGCTTATCTGGACGAAGGGAGAGATCGTGAATGTGAGAGTGAGAGACAGAGCGCGCGCTGGACTATCTTGGTGCCGTTCACTCGCCCATCCTCGTGAGCTTACGCGTTCGGAGCGATGCCGAATCGCCGAGTTCTGCAAGACCAGAAGTCTCCGCTTGGTGAAATGGATTATATATAATTTTATTTTAAATAAGATATTAATCATATTTAGATATTATTTAAAGATTAAAATACAATATAAATAATACAATTTTTATATATTAATATACAAATTTTCTAAACATATATTCAAATTTATTTTAATGATTGTATTAAATGATATTTAAAAAAAAAAAAGGAAAGGAATGAAAAGTTATTGTTTTGCACATTCTCCTATACCATTTCAGTTGGTGCTTAAATTTATTTTGACAAATTTTTTCTCAACTTTTTCATTCAGATTTGGACCGAAATAGACAATTTTAAATCAATTTGTTAAAATGTATAATCATTTATAAATCAGAGAAATATCAATTATGATATATTAAATTAAAAAAAAAAAAACAAAGCTATTATTCACTCTTTTTTTGACATTTTGCATTTACTTTTAACTTCTATAACATTAATTTGCTTATAAAATGTATTATAGTAATAATTCGACTGGTTTAATTTTGAAATTAATATAGATAAAATGCAAGAAATTCACGATTATCATTTACTAGGATTTGCTACACTTTTTTATATTTTTTTTAGATCGATATGTGATGTCGTGGATATTGTTTGGTTCATTGTCAAGCTGTTGATTGGACTGTTGAATCTATAGGCAATAGCGTGCTTTATTGACTGGTGGCCATAATGGCATAGTAGTTTTAATACATGACATGAAATCCCATATGCCCGGACAAGAAGTCAATAGGTTGTGACAAATGTACTAGAACCAAGCATCCACCAAACCCCTAAATGAAGCTTGCTCGAGAATCATTGGATCCCGCTCACCAGAAAAGCGCTCCTCTCACAGGATAATCAAGAGTCATCGTGAATCACATCACTTGTTGCTCGCCTCATAAAAAGGAGGTTGTCGAAGTCACTCTCATTTGCTCATATATATAATATTTCATATAGCTCTCATATCCCTATCAATAAAGAGTAATGATAAATTGGTTTAGATTTTTTTTTTTTTTTTTTTTGAATATTTTTTACTATTGCAGCCTTAGCATCATGAGCACTTGTACTAAATATTTTTAATAGTGGATTGTTTATTTTCATTCTTACATCAGATAAGAAGTCAACCGGAACCCGACCCGGTTTTGCAAACGGGTTGATTTTCCGAACCCGACCCGCTTCGGGTTCGGGTCAACCCAAACCCGAAATTTTCGGGTCGGGTTTTCGAGTCGGGTCCAATATTGACACCCCTACCTGTCATCTTCAAACAAATTTGTATCCAACAACACTAATTTTTTTAATTCTATATTAGTGTAAAAAATGAATTTATGTTCCTCATTGCATTTAACAATAAATTCAATTAAACTATTTTAAGTGGCTAATAATAATTTTTTCATCTGGAAAATAGGGAGAAGTTATAGAGATTCTTTTTTTTTTTTTAATAAAATTTGTTTCATTTGGCTATATATATATATTTTTACCAGTATATTTGATTTGAGAAAAGATTAAAGATGATCTAAAATAATTATAATTTATTTTATCAATTTAATTTCTAATTAATTTTACTTTATATGTTTTGTGATTATAGTATCTTTATTCATTCATTGCTCAAAATATTTAAATATATTTTTTCATCTTTTAAGTGCATCATCATCCCTTTATATTATTTATTCCCAAATGACCTAAGTATATCATGATATTATATATTATGGCTTGTTTGGGATAATTTTCTTACCGACTTTTAAAGCATTTTTTAGTACAAAAGTTTCTTAAATTAAATATTTTTGCACTAAAAAGCTCTTTAGAAAGCAGGAAGAAAATAGTCCCCAACAAGAGCTGTTATTACGTCCTCCGACCGGATGCAGAATAACATCTGGTCCTAGGCAAAAAAACGCATGTACCGAAAAACTCGGTACAGGCGTTTTTTTGCCTAAGACCGGATGTTTCTTGCATCCGGTCAACCGAACCAAATAAAAGCGCCCCCAACAAAGCCTATATGTGTTGTACATTGTCCCTTTTATTAAATAATTTATATACATCATAATATTATAGTTGCCTATTTTTGTATTCTTCGATCTATCAATTTTGGCTTAGTTTTTTTATTTTTTATTTATTTTTTGTCTAAAATTAGAATCATATAAAATCATCAATGATATTCTCCAATTATGAGTATTCTTAAGTTTCTTTTTTAGTCTTAAATATTAAAATTAAACTTAAAAATTATGTTAACAATCGTATTATATTTTTCTGATAATAGATTGAGGGTGCTTAAGTCTGATGAAGCTTTAATATTAGAGTTTGTTTGTGATAGTTTTTTTATAGCTACTTCGCATTTCAAACATCAACAACAATTTTATTGGCTATTACTTTCTTACTTGTCATTGCTTTTTCAAAAAATTTTGTGATGGAAAACTATTTTTTGTAGCTTAAATTATTTTTCACAATAACTTCACAACTAATTTTATAAAACACAACAACTATCATAAAAAGGAAAAATTATTAGGTGCGGAGTGCGCACCGTCCGCACAAGCACTGGGTACCCAGCGGTACCCAACGGTATCGAGTGCGGGTACCGTTAGGTGTCCAATACTTGTGCGGATAGTTCTCCCTGTCTGCACTCTGCACCTAATAATCTCTCCATAAAAAGACCCTAAGGGTTCGTTTGGGACAGGTTTCTCTAAAATAACTTTTTAGTACAAAAATTTTAATTTTGATTTTTTTTTTTTTTTTGTACTAAAAAGATGCCTTAAAAATTATTAAGGAAGCAATCCCAAACAAAACATAAGTCTTCAAATAATATTATAAAATATTTGTAGTAATATATTCATAAAATTCATAGCATGTGTCCAACCTACAAATTACTTCAATGTTGTGCTAAACAAAAAAATATATAAAAAAAAAATTATTTGTAAAGATATTCTAATTAAATCTAGTCATGATAAAATTTAAAATTTACTTTAAAATAAATATAATAAAATAATTTATTTTTTTTTATATTATACTCATTTATAATTAAAAAAAATATTTATTTTAAAACTTTTCCACAAATATGTTTTGTATGGCCCACCCAGCCCAACAAAAAAGCCCAAATTTATGAAATTATTAGAATATCATATTGTGAAATTAATTATAATTATATATATATTTTAAAAAATTATGTTACTTTGAAAAAAATTTATGATGTATGATGTAAGCCATGACATCATTTTTATCATATTTTATAAGATGATGACAAGTGTCCATATTAAATATATGATTAAGATTTAATTATTTAAATTAAGATGTGTCATTTTTAAGTATGTGGTTATTTTTTTTATTAAAAATATAAAAGATAGAAATGCCATGTGCTTGAATAGAAAAGTGTATAAGCTTGATGTGTTGTAAGGTTAAAATATTAAGAAGATAAAGTATATGTAAATATTATGAAGTAATAATTTAGAAACAAATTACATTTTTGCCCTTCTTTTGCCTTCATCATTAATTCTTCTAAGCTAATGTAAAAAGTCTTGCCCATAAGAAACCAAATGGGGAAATTCATCAAAGCTAAGGAGAGTGAAGGTTAATCTATTTTAGTTTGGGTAGATTGTTTTATGGGGTATTTACATACATACCATTTTATTTCATATTATTTACATATCTAACAACTAAAACTTTAATATTACATTTCTATCACTCGTATAAAATTTTAATATCAAATATATCACTATTATATTTCATTCTTACAATCCATACCACCCTATAAATTTTAATATTTCATTTCATGCACTCATATTTATTCTATAGGCAGCAGACATATAATATTAAAATTTCATATGTTAAATATATAAACTTTATTTCATATTATTTATATATGTAACACTTAAAATTTTAATATTTTATGCCTACCAGCCATAGATTAAATACATGTACAAATGAAATATTAAAGTTTATAGGGTGATATACTAATATGAGTGGTATGAATGAAATATAAGAGTGATATATTTGATATTAAAGTTGTATATGTGCGTTAAAAGTGAAATATTAAAATTTTGGATATTAAATATGTAACTAACATGAAATAAAATGGTACGTATGTACATCTCCCTTTAAAAAATATGAAGGGATCAAAACAATATATACTCGGGGTTCGTTTGGGACGGCTTTATTACTTCGTAAAGTAGCTTTTTAGTACAAAAATTAAATTTTTTGTATTAAAAAGCTTGTTTAAGAAGCAGCAAAAAAAACCCGTCCCAAACGAAATCTCACTACAAACCAAATATGGCAAAGCAGAAGAACAAAACTGGCATTAAATTCCAAAAAAAAAACAAAATATATTCTCATTTTAATCCCACTATTCGATCATAAAGGGGTCTGCAATGGAATCAAATCTTCATTACAACACAATGTTTAACTGTGACACCATTAGCAGGTTAACCAATATTTGAATATCAACAAATATTAGCTACAAAATAAATCAATATTTTTTTTCATATGAATGCTTCCAGAGAGAGCAGGATATTATAACAGAACTGAATCCTACCAATATGACATTTTAGAAGGATATTAAGGCTTCGTTTCGGATGGCTTTCTTAAAACAATTTTCTAATATAAAAAAATTAACTTTTGAATCTGAAAGCTGCTTTAAGAAGCAGTAAGAAAGCCATCACAAACGAAGCCTAAGAGGGTTTCCACATACCATTATGGGTCAAGTTCTGGATATTTTTGGCATTGGACTTTTTGCATTTTCGGCCTTCCTCTTGTTGCTGCGTACAACCAGGCTTTTCACATGAGCAATGTAGCCATCTACGTCGAATTTCCTCTTGCAACCGGCATAGTTCATGTACCTTATTTTCCCAAAAACTGCACGTTCCTTCCAGCCCTGCAATTACCATGACATGAAGCTGAGTTTATGTAAGTTGATTAATCTCAGAATATTTAGCAATTTTAAAGTTATTTTTATTCTGCCCCTCATAAGCCTCGCCTGAGCTTTAACTCTCAAGTTCACGTGCGAATCTCTCTGCCGCAGGCGTCTACCAGCGCAGCGACAACACTCGCTGGCCATTCTCTGATGAACATCCGCTCGCTCTCTCTGCTCCAACGACACTAGCTCACTCTTAGTTTCCCCATCATCTGCTTCCCCCATGCCTTTGCCCTTCTCGAAGGCTCACTTGCTGGGCTTTCTCTAAGGAAAAATTATTCTGTACAGTGTCTGGACTCATCCGGAGACTAATCCGGACTTGTCACGTCACCCAATGCACAAGCCTCCGAACGTGTTCGAATACCGCACAGAATAATCTCTCTTCTCCAAGACCTGACCACGCACATTCCACTCTCCTCTCTACAAAGCCCTCGATCTCCCTCGAACACCCATACTAACAACCCTAACGACCAATTACTCGAGGAATACACCAACTATGCCGACGAGTAGTGATCAAGTGTATGCTAATGTACCACAATCCCCATGAGTCTAACAGAGTGCAGGACATGGGAAGGGAAAATTGAAGCAATGACAGCTGAGTGTCAAAAGCGTGGGAGAGATACTTGGAACTTTTATTGAAATGGAAAAGGGGAAACTTGAAACAATTTGGAAAAGTTGATCAAACCTGCAAGATAATCAAAATTTTTGAAACATATCTCGCTCTCAATAGGATCACCATTGGGATGTTTTACAAACAAAAATAAAAAACGGATATACAACTCAAAATTTGTAAAGCTCATCTCAATGTTCACTTTTTTGTGCTTCTGACAAGCATAGACTTTTAGGGGCTGTTTGATAGCAGGATTTAGGCCGGGTTTGAGGCGGATTTGAGTGAAATCAAGCTAAATCGCCTAAAATGCAAAACCAAATCTCACAGCAAATGAAAGTCTTTTTGTAGACGGAAAATTCCTCCTTTTCGTGTTAAATCCCGGATTTTGGAAATCCTGCTTTTTGAAGGATTTACAAAATCCGTTGGCCGAAAAGGAAGAGTCCGCTCAATAAATCCGTTTTATAGCCAAACAGTCACACGAGATTTAATATTATTTATCATGAATGTTACCAAACAATTTTCAGGATTTCAGCCCCTCAAAATTTCCGAAATCGAAATTTAGCAGATTTATGAAATCCTACTTCAATAAAATCCTAGGTGCTACCAAACAGCCCCTTAGATTTCCAGCCCATCAAGGTACCTATACAAACTACTTGTTAGCATATAAGTTAGAAAAAAGTAAGAAGAATTAACTTCATGATATTAAAAACTATTTCGTCCTACGACATATTCATATTAGCACTGTTAAAAACATCTACGTCACGTTTGGGCATGCAATCCATGATAAAAACATCTTCACATGCATGAACCATACTAACCTGGTCATGTACGCCACATATGGACCACATGCAGCCCACATAGCCACTTGGATCTCGGCCATCTATCTCATACTGTACTGCCAAGAAATTTCAGTCAGAATATGAGCCAACTATAATGCATAATAAAGAATATGCAGCTTGTTGATTATGAACTTAAGCATCATTAGAAAATGATAGAGGAATGGAATTGAAATAAAAGCTAGAACAGATCCACTAACTTCTGCACCCAATTCTAGATTACTAGTTGACTGAAGACAAATAAGCTGAACATAATCAAGAACTAGTTGTAATATCATAGAAGATTTACAATCAATGAACTGTAATTTTTATATCACCATACCATACACCATTGTCTGCAAGGTTAGATGAAAGAATAGCGTTTTCAACAAGAAAAATATCAATACCTTGTCATTCAAATATAATGCTATTGCAAGTGCTTCTTCAGGGCCACTCGTCCATTCAAGAATTTTCTTAGCCCAATACATCCTTTAAGAAAAAAGTGCATTAGAATAAGCACGACCATATTATATTGTAAGAAAAAAAAAATTTAATGTGAAAATTGTTTGACTTCATAGAATCATAGTTGCATGATTGTAACTTCTGCAATTATAGGCACACTTCTCTAACGTGAAAAAATTTTACAAAATTCATAAAATATGAGCAGCAGAAATTGCATAGTGGAGACCCACTAAGATTGTGGCAAAACAAGGTACATTAGTTCAACAACTTATTTTATGTTCGTAGATAACACGATAATAAATTTACGAGTGACACTACATGATGCAAGAAGTTTATAATCTAGGATTTACTAATGTAATTTAGGATGAGATGAACAACAAAAATATATTAAAGAAATAATTTATAAAATACCAACTCTTTCGCAAAAATAGCTACCATCAATGTTAAAACAACAAACATGTTTCTTTTATTATAAACAATAATGTCATAACTCATAATTGTCAAAATTTAAATCTCATAAAAGAAATAATTAAGGAATAAAGAGTTTCAACAATGATAAAGATTAACACTATGAAAAAAATTTGTAACAAATCTCATTTAAAAAAACTTCAATCACTCACACACCAACCATTAAACAAATTAATAATAAAAACAGTAATATAAATAACTAAAGAAAATATATATATATATATATATTTCAATACTCAACATTCATTGATTTTTACATGCCTTAGGGGTCCTATTTGCAGTCTCTGAAAGACCCAAATAAAAAAAAATAAAAAAATAAAAAACAACTTAGAATCCTCCTAGATCTATAAATAATCAGATGTTTTAATTCTCCCTGCATATAAACAGTACGATTCAACCTTAGGTTTCAAAATTTCCAAATAAACTCTTCCACAAAAGTTAAACAAGAGGAGGCAAAGGAAAACAATTGGTGGCAATAGGAGGCGTCCTTTCCCGATCATTGTACCCTATGTTGCACCAATACATCTATTTATGAAGGCGTGTTGTATCGGATACGTGTCATACACGATACGCGTTCGATATGACACCGATACGTGTCGGATACATCAAAGCCGCATCCAATTAAAATACTATTTAATTTCAAAAGGACATGCGTATCGGATACTTGTGTCCGTTGAAAGACGAAAAAAAATCTGAAAAAAAAAACACATCATATTTACTTCAGCGGCTGCGAGCGAGGTTCTCTCATTTTCAAGCCCGTGAGGCATTTACATTGATGTTAGTTTATTAGAAAATATTATATTATGACATCAATTATTTTGCATTTGTAATGCTTTGATTTTTTATTCATGTATTTAAAAAATCATATTATTGCGGTTTGTATGTCTTCTTAAATGGAGAAAAAAAAAAGAAGTTTAGCTCTCATATGTTATTCAGTAAATATGACATCAAATCATGCAACAACATAATTAGTGGAATCATACCACAAAATTCTTATTAGGCAATGAGTTTTAACTCTTTCCTTGACTCAATGCATACTTTATTTTGATATTATAAGCTACCAGGCTACAAATGACGTACTTTAATTTTTTTTATCATTTCAAATATTATGCTTTGATTGTTTTTTAAATTTTTATGTATGATTTATAAATTATAATGACGTGTCTGCGCCGTACCCGTATCCTGTATTTTTAAGAATTGACATGTCCCGTATCCGTATCTTATAGTATCCGTGTCGCCATGTCCGTATCGGTGCAACATATGTACCAATTGGAAGAAATAAGGAATCCAAGATATAGCAATCCAGTGGTTTATAACGCTCTTGGGACTAACGAGCGACTTATATTCTGGGGATCTAGCAAATAGAAAATGATTGATCTAGGGATAACCAAAAGGCCATAGATGACAGGCACATTATCAATGTTTTGTTTGGAATGAAGTTAATGAAATGAAATAAAAGCCAATAAATTATGCGTTGATTATGAATCTATAAATATTTGAGCCTTTCAACCTTGTTTAATTTCCTTTAAATCAAATTCCCATCATTCAAACACAACCTAAATCTCAACAATCATGACTTCCACAGAGACTAAGGCTTTATTTGGGATGGCTTTCTTACCGCTTTTTAAAGCAGCTTTTTAATAAAAAAAATTATAATAAAAAGTTACTTTAAGAAGCAGTAAAGAAGCTGCCCCAAACAAAACCTAAATATCAAAAGGTAATGATGTACTTTTTTCATTCACTTCGAAAATGACGTTGGGGAAAATATTTGGCCTGCTTAACTCAGCTAGAAATGATCAATGGCTTGCATGGTTCTTCTTTAATTTATCAGGGTATTATTGGCTTCTGTCCAGTCTCCAGTGGTCAGTTAACCACAGTGCCCAATGTAAACAAGGCAGATTTTTTAATCTTTTCACAAGTTAATGATCAATTTTCATCCAGAGAAACAGATATTCCTTAACCCTATGCTTCCACATCATTGCACAAATAAGTTGATCAATTTCAAACAATTACTTTTATTGATATTCCATTACGTTAGTACTCTAAGATGAATATGCTAATCATAAAAATAACACCTAAAAAAATGCGCATACAACCCAACTTAATAAGCTACTCTTTCATCGTTGTTGGGTCTCAAAAATCCCTATCTAAGCACAATTTTTAGAAAATGAACAATCGAAGGGAATTAAAAGAACTTCAAATTACATCTTGAAAAATTATTTCATCAACTAAACAGACAATAATCAAAACCTTAGCTGAATCGTGTATTTGATCAAATGGATAGGCACAAGTTTTAATTTAAAAAATGTAAAAAAAAAAAATTGTTAGGAGTTTAGAACCGAGGAAGAATGGAATTTGCATAAGACACAACCAAGAATGCCTTGAGCGACGATTTAGACGTTGATTTCAAATGGAGGATTTGTTCATTTTGCTTTTCTTTAAATATGAAATCAATTGAAAATTTTTATAGTTTCATAATTGACAAACCCTATTATTTATTTCCTATGAAATTGTGCCAGAATTTCAAAGTGTAAGAGAGGAGAAATGTGAGAGAAGGACATAGTATTTGCTTTGCAAAAAGAAAGAACAGGGAGAAATTTTGAGGAACATATTTGAAGTTGAGATTTATAAATAAATTTAAGATAAAAAATTCAGAAATTCAAATTGTATTTAATATTTATGTAGTGAGATTACTCAGAAATATTAAGATTAAGATTTATTAAATTGAATGAGGTTTGGGAGTTGATTATTTATTTATAATGAGATAAATGTGATTTGATGATAATAATAAATTTATGATTTATATCAAATGGACTATTACAGGTACCAAGTTAAAGAAGATAAATCTTAAAGATTAATGGGACAACAAAGCTAAAATCTTTAAAGGCGATGTGGGTGATTACATTTCTATCTGATAGCAGTTGTAGTTCTTTATATGATTTAATGCATTGATTGATATGACCTATTGTATGCAAATTTGATAATGTTTGTAACACTGATTCACATTGAAGAAATAATCAAATGATCTCTATCATATTGTAATAAACATCAAATATAAAAGTGTTTTATTGAGACACATGCATGTACAAAATTAAATGTAAAAATAAGATAAGATAATGAAATGAATATATATATATATATATATGCATGTTAAATAAATAAGTTTACCCATTTATTGTATTATCTAGGGATGCAATGTACCCATGTAAGTAAAATGAAAAATGCTTTAAAAAGAAAATTGACATAGACATGATTGTGCATTAATGGGTACAAATTTTAGATGATACTTCTAAGACGGATTATATTAAAAGATTATTATATGATAAATATATCATAAAATGTTATCATCTGCAAAATGTTGTCGTCTTTATTTTACCTGAGTAATATATTTATGTATATTCTTTATAAATGAAATATGTAATGATCACTTATGATGACTCACATGCATTTTATTTTTTAAATTACAATATTATAGAACAATAATTATCCACATAATTTTATTGTATGAACTGAACCCGTTAAACATATGAACGTGTCAGGAAAGGCTCATATAGATTTAACAGGTGATAGGTAAGGATATATGTAGAGGAGTAAGAATAGATATTTAATAATCATATGTATGCGATTTTTTATCAAATATTTAAGATGTATGAAATATAATTGTTTTTTGTATGGGTTGCTTAAAGTATGGTTTAGTTGTTTTTTATACATTGAAAGATCCATTGGATTACTTGTAATGTTAATTGTAAGGAATTAAATAACCATCTGACCCATTGTAACCACATTGATTCCAAGCTCTCGGCCGCACTATCGTGATAATAAAAGTAGCGTTTCTTGTTTCTTCCTTTTCTTTTGAAGGTAACTTTCGTAACAATTAAATGTCCAGCAAATAAATTAAAAAAATGTAAATATGATAAATGTATTTAATACCTCATAAATCCGTGCATTTTTCCATGATGAACCATCTCCAACTGTGAAGCATTCCATAGCTGAAAATGCATTATTTAATTACAGATATATTATTGTAACCACTCGATAACACCAAAAACCACTTTCAATTAAAAAAAAAAAAAACCACTTTCAATCTTTCCATAAAAAAGTAAATGCTAGTTAAGATACTTACAAGATCAGCTGTTTTGGCTTTTTCTAGTTCATCCCTCCTGTAATTTGTAAATTTATAAGCTACAACATGCAGGAGCATTTTGGTAATAGTTTAAGGAATCAACTTACACATAATGTAATAAATTTATGGGAGAAACTAATAGAATATAAGTATGGGAAGTTTGCATTGATATTATGACTCAAATTGGTTTTTCAAAGTACTGGGGAGGACTTTTGTACTAAAGACAGATGAAAATCCAAAAGCAACAAAAAAATCCTATCAAGATTATAGATCTTGAAAAGGAATAATATCTAGCAGAATGAGATTAGACATCCTACGTATTGAAGAAAAAAAAAAAGTCTAAGGATTGTTGAGAAGTAACGAAAAATATGTATGATGAAACAATGATTGTGCATTGGCAGATCGTTTCCAAATCTTGATCAAGATGAATCTTTCCTCCAAATCTTTATCCTTTCTAAGTCTTACCTTAATTTGTGGCATCACAAAGATCATGCAATGCTTTATCCGTTTTATCAATCATTAAAAGAGTTGAGCAAGGGACCCAATTAGTGACTAAACTTATTGTTAATTTAGGGATTTCTATTGAAACTTCTCCATGCTTGTTAGTCTTGATTAGAATAGATTATTCGTGTTTCTAAACTCTTATATGTAGTTTGGCCTAAGCTTTAATCATTGTACTAATGTTCTAACTTTTTATTTAAGTCACGATAAGCTAACATAATTATTATTGCCCAAATTCAGTAGGCTTGTGATTTTAATATTGCATAACTTCGCACACATTCTAGTTCTACATCATTTTGCCTTAAATATGATAAAGAAAATGAAAATACAGCTTGCTTTAACCAAAAGTAACCACGAATTTAACTATAATGAATGAATCGACTTACTCACGTGTAGAGATGCTCTCTTTTATCAGCAGCATGATCCATCAAGGTTCTACGAGCCCAATCCCAAGCACCTAGGAATGAGTCATAATGTGGTTGGTAATAGCAAAAGTTATCTGCCAGTTCCCTTCTCACAATCAATTCCTCCAAGAAAGTTTCGACTGCCTGCATTGGAATTTCAAGAAACGCTAAAAAAAGAACTCTAAGGATTCATATGAGACGACTTTCTTACTGCTTCTTAAAGCAGCTTTTTAGTACAAATTTTTTTTTTTAATTTTTTTGTACTAAAAAACTGCTTTAAGAAGCAGTAAGAAAGTCGTCTCAAACGAAGCCTAAATCTCCTCATCGGATAAAAACTGCAAGCTACAATTAATATGGTTAATATGATAAAATGGTTAAGACAGCAGTAGCTATTTCACCACTGGAAAGAGAAAACTTCCCGCTAGCACGTTTGTTCAAATTCTAGTGGGTAAAAGTACGAACTTGATGGCAAATGTTCACATTGATAAAGATGAAAGAACTGGAATACTATGAGGCAAGTCTGAATTCACTCCGGGAGGATTTTACTCATCACTACGGATCAATTTGGTTTGAAGGAACTGAAATAGAGAAAACGTAAGAGAATGGAAATAGAAATGGCAAACAAATTGAATTGAAATCACCCACTTGTTTGGTTGAAGAGAAATTGTGCAGGAAAACAATATATATACGGTTCGGTTCAGAGGAATAACCTTAAAATTGAAAACTAAAGGGCACTGTTATGCAAATCTTAAGATTTTTCATAGGTTTAAACAAAGATTCTTAAAAAGAAACAAACATATGTTCTAATTTCCATGGCAAAACCAATTTCTTATAAACTACACCAAAACCAATCAGACAAGATGTAATTATGTGGTAAGCAATATCTCCATGGAGGTTTGGTGTAAACCTTCAATGAGACCTCTTCATTACAGTTACCCTTCAAATCTTCTAAAAAGGAATCACGAAACTGACCTGGGGATGAGAATTTTTTAGTTTACGAGCCTCCAATGCACAACGCTGGGCTGAGATCTGGCCAAAATGGAGGTAAGGAGAGAGACCAGACAGCGCTCTCGGCTTCAGCGGATTGTTTCTATCAGTACTGTAATTCTTCAGCCTCCTCGTTAGAAATCCCTCCTTGGCTCCCATCAAAGCCTCCATCGCTGCATCCTCCCCAGGTTCACACCATTCAATCTCCGGTACTTCACCTCCCTCTCTGAAACCATAATCAAAATTCAAAATTCAGAAGCTTTGACCACTTTTTCTCAATTTCCTCACTCGCAGAAGTGATGGGGATTCTAAATTTAAAGAGAAAAATAAAGGAATAACAAAAAAGAAATTATTATTTGGGATATTTACAATTTTACATGCATACCACATAGTTTTTATTATTTACATATTCACCAAAGAAATTTCTATATTTATTTAAATAATATCAAAATCCTCTAATCATATCAAAAATACATCCAATATTCATAAATAAATCATACAAATAAATTTTAATTGCTCAAAAAATTAATAAATACTTACACATTAAATCAAAGAGTTACAAAATATTTTATTATTTGGTTGATTGAATATAATTATAATAAATAAGTAACACATTAATTTAAATGATTTATAAATTAACAGAACGTCTTTATGCTAATACAACTTTTTTAAGTAAGTTAATTATTAAATTAATAATCAATAAAATGAATAAGTAACCAATAATTTTAATTTTCTTTTATTTTTAATAAAACTTTATTGTAATAATAATTTGAAATAGTCTTTCATAAGAAAATGAATTTATATCAATTCAATGCATAAAAAATAAATTAAATGTTAGAAATTCTGCCTCAAAATTAGGACAAATTATTATGTGCGAGCACCGAACGTCATCCGAAGGCAAATCAGAGCACGCCATTGCTATGTATCGCGGATGTGTACCCGTTGTATACTGGGTGACTTGGCGCGTTCTGATTTGCCTCCGAACAGTCCAGTGTCGGCACATAATAATTTTTCCAAAATGAGAGATACAAGTGAGTCAAGTTGGCTTAGGATTTGGTTCAAATTCGACACGTTAAAGAGCTTACAAGTCAAACTTATCAATCCACGAGTTCTCAAGCTTACATATTATACAAATTTGAGCTCTAGCGCAATGTGGCTCGGCTCATAAACTCGTCGATATTAAAAATTAATTTATAATAGCTTTATATAATATATTTTAATATTTTATATTATTTCTATATTAAAATAAAAAATCTACAACTTCAGCTTTCTCTACTCCGAATTTGTTCTTCTCTTCTATCAAAGCCCAATCAGTATTACATACCTGAGAACCTCTGCGACCAGCTCTTCCCAATCGATCTCCTTCGGATCCTCCAAGCCCCATTCAAGATCCGGCTTCGAAATCTCCGGGAACTCCACAAGATACTCCGGCAACACCCTCTGAATCTTCGCCCTTATAGTCTTCGCACTGTACTCCAGCTTATTAGACGCAACCCACACCGGAACAACATTGTGAGCATCCACTTCATAAACCCTCACCCGCTCTCCAACCCTCTCGCATATCTCCGCCTTCCATTCCCTTACCGATCGGAGCGGCGAGAAATCAGTAACGAGGGCGGACGCGCCGCATTCGCAAAGGAATTTGGGAATCGTATCGACGGCATCTCCACGGAAGAGGAAGAAGGGGATGCCGAGCTCATGGAGGCGGAGGCGAAGGAGAATGAGGCTGCGGAGCATGAAGCCGAGTTGGCGAGCGTGAGCGTTGAGGAAGCGATGGAAGAGGTTGAAGGCGACGGCGATGGGAGCGGAGGAATGGTTCGCGAGGTGGATGGCGTGGATTAGGGCCCAGTTGTCGCGGGAGCGTTGGTCGCGGAACATCCAGTAGACAACGGGGCCGGCGGGAGATCCCGGGGAAGGAGGAGGAGGGGTTTTGATGGGATTGAGGAGGCGGACGCGGCCGGGGTGGACGGCTCCGGCGGCGGCCATGGAATTGAGAGAAGTGGAGAGAGAGAGAGACTGGACTTGTGGAGAGAGAGAGACTGGACGTGGAGACCTTCAAATCGACCCAAGTGGGGACAGCTTGGGGGTCAACGGGTCTGGTGCTGGGTGGAATTAAATGGTGTACGGTGATGTTGTGAAGGCAACGACTGCACGCAGGTTGGGCAGACGTGGATAGGGTGCGTAGGCGCGGGAGGCGCGGCGCGATTCTAATCAATCCATTTTAAAGTTTTATTATTTATTTATTTTTGGATAAAGTAATGTTTCTATGAAAAGGATATTTGATTTTTTATGATCAGATTTTTTATTTTTTTAAATATGTCCTGACACGTCATCAAAAAATTATCTTAATCGGACATGAATCTCGATGCAAAATCAAGTTGGAAATTTTCAAAATTAAAATAGGAACCATCCGAACTCTGATTTCAACAAACTTAAAGTCAAAGTGAATGTCTCGAAAATATGAACCCAACGACACCAAATTTGACTCAATCCGAGCCCAAATGAGTCTAAATCAAGGACCCGAAGCGTTGTTGGAAGGTTTGAACCACAATTTGGGTTACCAAACGGTTTCCAAACATGACGTGCTTATAGTCGAATCGAACTGCTCAACGAGACGAATCCAACGAGCCCAAGATCGTCGAATTTCGACATTAAGACCTTTAAATGTCTGACGAACGATACATGATCAAGGGATTCAATATCGATTGTCCATCCAACCACTCCCTATTTACCCTTGATATCTCACATATTTACGGGTCATGTCACTCGAGAAATCTATAAATAAACTCATTATTCCTCTTGAAAAGGGATCCAAGCAAGAAGAGAAGAAAGGAGAGAAGGAAGAGAAAGAAGAAGCTCTTCCTAGATCACTGCCGGACCACCGCCTGACATCGTTGCTTCGTCGGACCACCACTTAAGGCCTTCACCTCCGCCGAACCACCGCCTGACGTCGTTGCTCCGTCGGACCACCACTAGAGGCCCTTACCTCTACCGGACCACCACTTGAGGCCCTCACCTCCGCCGGACCACCGCATGACGTCGTTGCTTCGCCGGACCACCACTTGAGGCCCTTACCTCCGTCGGATCACCGTCTGACGTCGTTGCTCTAACGGACCACCATTTGAGGCCCTCACCTCCGTCAGACCACCGCCTGACGTCGTTACTCCGCCAGACCACCAACACTGGAGGCCCTCACCTCCACCGGTCCACCACTTGAGCCCTCACCTCCGCCGGATCACCGCCTGACGTTGTTGCTCCGTCGGACCACTACTTGAGGCCCTGAGCTCGGCCGGATTACCACTTGAGGACCTGGGTTCTGTCGGACCACCACTTGAGGCCCAGACTTCTCCCAGACCACCACGCGCCCGGACTTCTGTCAGACCACCACCTGAGGCTTGGACTTCTGTCGCATCACCACCTGAGGCCTGAACTTCTGTCGGACCACCGCCTGATGCCTGGAGTTCTACTGAAGTATCACCCTACTACTACGGTCTTTCTAACCCCGGTCTCTTACCGACTACGGTCCTTCCGACCTCCGTTATCTATTATGGTCCTTCCGACCTCCATCACCAGACAATGGTCTTTCTGACCATTGTCTCCTGCCAACTACAGTCTTTAGGACCTCTGTCTCCTGCCAACTACGGTTCTTCCGACCTCTATCGCCTACTATGATCCTTCCGACCTGCACCAAAAGACAACGGTCTTTTTGACCCCAGTCTCCTGCCAACTACGGTCTTTAAAACCTCTGTCTCTTGCCGACTATGATCCTTCCGACCTTCATCACAAGACAACGGTCTTTCCGATCTCTAACCTACCTACTATGGTTGTGCCGACCAAACAAAAATGCCTATATTGTAACTCCCACAATGTAATGTGCTATATATAATGTATATTTGTACCATCAAGCCAAGGCTTCTCCCAATAAAGGGTCTCATTTGTAATCGACTACAAATACTAGTGGGTTCATTAAAATTGGCCCAGACCCCGTGATTTTTCCCCCTTTCCAAGAGTTTCCACGTAAAAAAAAAAAAAAACTTTAGTGTCTCTTATGAAAGCTACACACTCTCTCTTATCTGATTGTGTGTTGGAACTTCATACAACATTAAGACGTTAAAATATATATTTCTCTATCACCGTGAATACTCCATGACACAACATGTTCTAAAATTTATTTAGGATCAAATAATCACTTTTTTTTTACAAATATGAGTAGAAGATAGATATGTCAAAATGGGTAAGTGGTTGGATCTAGATCCAATCGAAAATTGACTAATCTTAACCCACTCGACTCAAATTTGACTCATTTAATAAGTGGGTTAAAGAGGCCGACTAAGCTTGACCTACCAGTAACCCAAATGACTTGAACTTGACTTGATTATTCATTTTAATTTAAAAAAAATAACTTGTTAACTATAGAATTTAGATAAATGATCCAAAGTAAGAAGCGTAGAAGAGTTCAAAGAAGAAAATGTATTTGTTTAGCACCTAAATCATAAACTAAGAACAACGTTAGACATCACAATGCTCAACACAAACTTTTAAGAATCATCTTCAAACTACCCTTAAAATTATCTTTGAAATAATCTTCTAATCATAATTGAATCATCCTCAAATAAGTATCGAATCATAATTGAATTATCTTCTAACCATGATAAAACTATCTCTGACTAATCTTCAACCATGATCAAATACAAATAGTCTTCAAATCATGATTGAACTGTTTTAGAACATGATCAAATCATCTTCAAATCTTCTTCAATTTTTAAATAATGTTCAAACAATATTCAAACTTGTTTCGCACAAGATTCAATTATGATTCTAAGATTATTTGGAGATAATTCAATCATGATTTTATCATGGTCCAAATATAATTTGATCATGGTTCAATCCTAATTTGAAGGCGGTTTGTTTGTTTTTTTTTTTTTTTTTCTTTATATCTTTAATGCATATGAGACCACCACTACCTTAAGAAAATAGATGTCTAATTAAGGAATTCCTTATAAAAATCCCTATAAGGAAGTCCTCCTTTCTACTTATTTAACATTTGAGTCTTATATTTTATTGAATGCAAATCTACATTGTTGATAGGAACTTATGAACATAAATCACACTAAAGGAAGTAAAGAAAATCATAATAAGTTTTTTTTCTAAGGAAGAATTTCTACCTTCCTGCATGGCATAATGGTCACTACAGCATGCAAGAGACCTGTACAAATTGATGCCAATTATCAATCCCACAAGCAAAAATAACATAAAAGCTTTAAAAACAATACAAAATAAAAAACAACATTGTGAAGAGATTAATGTTTTGTTTGGGATGACTTTCTTAGTGCTTCTTAAAGCAGCTTTCTAGTTCAACTAAAAAGCTGCTTTAAGAAGCAGCAAGAAAGCCATCCCAAACGAAGTCTAGTTTCAGGCCATACAATGCATTAAATTTTACAACTTCGAACTAAAACCCCGAGCTCATCAGTTACTGACTAATGGTTGCAGGATACATTAGCAACTCTACAAACTGCACCTTCAATACATCCGTCACAATCAAAACATCAAAAAAATTCTACAGAGTACTCTAAAATGGCCAAAACATTAAAAAAAGTGCCCTATACTTCATGCTTATATTACAGCAAACTTTGTTCTCTTAGCATTTTTGATGATCAGAATGGGAGTGTAGGGATGGCTGACTTGTTAAATTTCCAGGTGTTCGACGTTGATCTGAGAGAGCAAAGCTGTGAAACTTACCTACAGGATGAATAGTTACAGACTGGAAGAATATGGTAGTCATAAATCCTGTGCATCTAGATCTGGCTTTGTTGGATATTCGAGACCTTGCAGCGCTGGAATTCTTCTCAAGTCCTCGTCTGAGTAGGATGGGATGAACCAGTGTTTCTTGTCAAGTCCAAATACCTGTTACCCAATCAATGTTAGGCAATGCTTAGGGTGTCTCCAACCGAAAAACTCAATTTTCGCTTCAAAATGCAGTAATACATCAAAATGCATAAACTCGTCTCAAATTGAACTTCATTTTATAATACTAAAAAAAGAATATTACTAGTATATTCTTTCTCATACTTTATTTTATATATTTTTAATCATATATTTATAATTAACAAAAAATATATAGCGGAGGAACAGTGCGACGCCAATATCTGCAAGCAAATAACAGAAAATTTGGAATTCAACTGGAGCGACCGAACGACGCCATACATATGTGTTTGACATTCAACTGGAGAAGGCTTTAAAAAAGAAAGGTTGGGGCAGTTTTTTTCACGATTTGTTTTTAGATAATTGTTGCAGTTATAGTTGACTGCAGTTTTCTTGTCAATTTTCAGATATTTTTGAGATAGAAAGCAATCTTTTACAATAAGACCTGATATTCTAATAGAGAGCAGCGACTGTAAGAAAGTTGTTGACTCAAATGGAAGAAAATCAATAACACTTTACAGTAGTTTTCAAAAAATTTATTTTTCTCATAACAGTTCAACAATTATTTGGATCTCTTAGGCTTCATTTGGGATGACTTTTTTATTGCTTCTTAAATCAATTTTTTAATTAAAAATTAAAATTTTTTAACTAAAACACTGCTTTAAGAAGCAATAAGAAAGCCGTCTCAAACAAAACCTTAGGCTTCGTTTGGGATAGCTTTCTTACTACTTCTTAAGGCAGCTTTCTAATACAAAAATTAAAATTCTATACTACAAAACTACTTTAAGAAGCAATAAGAAAGCCGTCCCAAACGAAGCCTTAGTATTATAGTATTTGACTTATATATCATTTGATAAAATCAACTCTGAAGCAAATGTAACGTACTTTTAACCTTAAAAAAAACAAAATGACAAACAAAATAACTACGAAGACACAAACCTGTTCAAAATTCCTCCTCCTTCCCAGGTCATACCTCCACTTTGGGGTTGTTTTCTTTTCATAAGCCTGATGTGATAGAGGGAACATTCAAACTACTTTAAAAAGCTTCAATTAAACCGGAATGGGGAAAAAAAAAGACAAGCGCTAACCTCAATGGTTGTTGTATTACCCATCACCAAAGATATATGCATGATCAGAAACCCCAGAACACTCAGCGTAAAAGCCAAATTCAAAACTAGCAATAATAGAAACAAAAAAAAACAATAAATTCTTAGCGTACTAAAAGAAGCTTGCCAATTGTACAGGCATGTTATGCTTACCAAACGTGAGGAAAGTTGTTGCTAGCATTCCAGGGGTTCCGGGAATCTCACCGTCGTTGAAGAAGGCAATAAAATGTGGTAACAGTGACAGGGTAACCAAAGTTGTCTCAAGAAATGTGTAGAACTGCAGACACAATGGACAAAACGGAAACAAGAATTAATAAACATGGTTCTAAGGGACTAAAAAAGCAGCAGTACAAGAGAAACAAAAGGATTTGGATCAAAACCTTCCATCAGGCTTCATCTTCATATTACATCTTTGAAGATGAGCAATTTTCAAACCAAGTTGTAAATGTTTTACCAATCAAAATAATGAACTCGTAGCTGCTCCAGGAGGATTTCAGACTCAATTTTTTATTTTTCTGAAGCCTTTCAGAATATTCTAAAATTTTCTAGGGCTTTTCTAGGACTTCTAGAAGGTTCCTAGAGGTTTCTAAATGTTGATCACACGAGCTCATGCACTTCCTATGTGGCTCACTATTGATTTGAAGATTATAAACCTTGTGTGCCGTGTTATCTAATATCATTTATTAAGTGTTCCTACATGTTACAGTTTACTCACATATTAACGACTATGGTGATGATGACATAACATGCCAGACCAGCTTGGACCTTTGCCTAATTGGAAATCAACACAAAAGAAATTAATTAGAACTCAAGTGCGAAGTGTTGCTTCAACTTGATCCAAGCCTATAATGCCTAGATCTTTAATGTCATTACAAAGAACTGTTTGTTAAGATTTACAGGGCATGCCAAGAAGTGCTAAATTCAAAATACTTGTAAACTAAAAATATATCATAAACATTTTCATTATAAACCAACTAATAATTAACTAAAATATATTTTAATTGTATTAAAAATTTTATTAATAAAACTAAGGATGACTCGCACACACACTTATAAATTAAGAATTAAATTAATTAAAAATATTAATTATTGAACAAATGATTGTACCGTACGATGTAGACCAAACTATACGATATGTAGAGATTCAAATTCAATAAACCAAATCAAATTCAATTTAAATTGATCAATCTACGGGGCCTACTGTATGATGTACTGTTAATTTTAAATTAAATCTAGGATATTAATGAAGTAATATTTGATTAAATCAATCAATTTATGAATCACACATCATGATTTAGATCAAATAGTATGATCTTTAATTCATGTTTTGAACCAAGCTGATTAGACTGCATGATCCTTCATTGTACAATAAGATCTTCAAGTAATTAAATTTTGAATGAATATCTGATAGATCGGTTGATTTGATTGGGAGGGAATTAGGAAGTTTCATAATCAAGAGGGAGCTATTTATGAAGGTTCTTAATCAAAGGGAAATTGTTTAGAAAAGTTTTAATTACAATTGAAAGGGAATTATTTATGGCAAGAGATTTAATTTGAATTTAAAATCTAAGAGGGAATTATTTAGGGAAAGGGAGGAGAAATCAAGGGGGAATTGTTTAGGAAAGTTTTAATTACAATTTGATGAGAATTTTTTAGGACAACAGATCTTATTTGAATTCAAATATGAAATGAAATTATTTAGGAAAATGGGGCTGATTTGAGAGGGAATTAAGGGAACCTATTTAAGGTTAACAATAGGATGATTTCAAGATTATGTTTGTGTTTGCTAAGGGCTCTAGCCGACAGCTAGGGATTTGGGAGAGCTAAATCTTCCTCTCCAATCGAAGATCCAACTGTATCTTGTTATTTCCTTTTATATTTTTTGCAATAAAAAGATTCATGGTGTGTTCTTCCTCCTAATTTATTATTGCCGTTCACTAATTCCAAGAAAATTGTATCTACTTCATATCAATATCCTCATTAATAATTGATTGATTGGAATTTTTAAAGGTTGATTAATATCATATGTTGGTGCTGGACAAATTAACATCAGATTGAGAGGAATAAATCAAGGTAGAAACTCTAGAACAAACAAGAGAGAACAAAGAAATAGATTGAAAGTTCTTCTTCCTCACACTAAGTGATTCCCTTCCTATTAAAGCCATTATTCCTCCACTCACAAATCTAATTTGTGGAGAGCTTTGTGAGTACTATTTGTAAAAGAGATCATAGATCTCAGATTGTTTATCATTAAAATCTCCTTTAGCTCTTCATAAAGTGCTCTTACTCAAAGGTCTTAGGATTTGTATTTTATTTTATCACTCTTATTGTTTTCATCTTACAATTAAATTTTGTACACCAGATTGTATAAAACATAATTGTAGGTGATAACCGCTGAGTCGCCTGCAACGCTCAATAGTTTTGGTTCGGTTCCAAAAAATGTCTTCATCATCTAGCAGGTTAGGCTAGGAATACTAGGTCTATGGCCATAAAGTAGGAAAGTTGTAACTTAGTGGAAAAGACTAGTAGTAGATTGATTCTTTCTTTTAAGTAAAATTGTAGGGTGTCGCCATTACAAGTTAAAGATGAAGCTGGTGTGAGAAGATTTCTTCGCCTCCTAAGGGAGCGAAGGAGCATAACTTGTGATAGCAAGGTGTAGTGTGAATCCTAGTGTCAAGTTATGCTAAACATAGATTTAGGTCCAGGGCTGGCCGAATCACATAAATATCGATCATGGAAATTTGCTCTATAGTTTAGTTTACTAGATTGCATGTTTATTCCACATCAATATGCCTTCAATATTATATGATGATCTACATTACTAATGCTCCATCTGCCAAGTAGTTGAATAATTATAATCACTCTCTTTAACGCATACATTACTCACTCTTGTGCATAATTATCAACATATCACTATAATATTTTGTGTTGGTGCTTGTTTTTTGAAATAACTTTATAAGCTAGTATAGTGTATTAGTGTAACAAACTCATATAATTACTCAATCATTTGACTTATAATAGGTTAGTGTTTCTGATGTAGAACGGAAACGGGATTTTTCTAATCGTCTTGAAGAGCAAATCGTCCCAAAAAATCTGAAACAATTCTGATGAGGGCATCAGATTTCGACATGTGTACCATCGCCGGGGACGACGATCGACGGCCCCGATTCAGAGTCTTTATCTGTGATGATTTAGTTTTTTTTCTATTAGTTTATTTCTTGATTTCCGTTTGTACCCCTATGAGGGATGTATCACCTATTGTAGCACAAAGGGCATTTTAGACTTTATGTTTTTATTTTTCAGTTAGCCTATATATAAGGCTTGTATCATTGTATTTGGATGATTGATGGATGAAATGAAATTGCTCTTTTTGTTCTCTTTGTGAGTGCATGACAAGATCTCTTAGTGAGTTCTTCTTTGGGATCTCTTGGTGAGTTCTCTATCTTATTTGTGTTTATTCGCTCACAATTTTCCCCCATTAGAAACCCCCACAAAATCCCCTCTCCCCAAGCCCTAGCCGCCGGCTTCACCACCTTGGGTGTTGCCGCCGGCCACCTCCACCCTCCCGGCCGACCATCTTCCGCCGCCCCTCCCCTTCCGGCCAACTCCCCTCCCCCATCCCATGTTGAGTTGAGATTTAGAATTCAAATTTTGAATTCTTTCCAAATTTGGAATTCCAAATTAGGAAAGTTTGCATGATTGATTCAATCTCATTTATTTTAATTGTGGAGTTTTCAAATATTCGTCCACGTCATCAATCCGCGTTTAGAAACCTCTTTCCTCTCCCCCATAATTCCCTCTCCCTCTTGAGCATGCCGCCGGCCCCCCTTTCCCCCCAATCAAGCCCCCATTAATTGCTCAATTAACTCCCTTAATTCTAATTTGAAATTCAAATTAGGGAGCATTAATTTTCCCTCCCATTGGAATTAAAACTGAATAATTTCAGTTTAAACCCCTTCTCCCTCTTCTCTCTCCCACCGCCGGTCTCCTCTCTCCACCCCCAATTAATTCCCCATTAAGGAATTAATTCCCCTCCCTTGGGGATTCAAATTTCCCCGCCAAAAGTTCTCCAAAGCTGAAATTATTCTCAGCTTTTCTCTTGTTTTCCTAAATCCTTCTTCCCCTCCCCCATACCCACCGCCGGCCTCCACCTAACCCACAGCCCGCCGCCCCACATCTCTCCTCTTTGGAGAGTTATTTGCGGCCATCCTCATTTCGCCCCTTCAAGGATGCATGGAGGTTCCCGAATGGAATTTCGGGTTTGAATACGACGACCAAGGGCGAGTCGACATCCTCCGGTCCCCTTTCTTTGACGTCGGATTCGACTTCGACGACACCATTGTGGAGTATTTGACACGGATCGTACCCACCTTGATAGAAACCGTCGACGATCACTTTTCGGATTACACTTGGATCGTCGAAGGACGTCGCATTGCAACACCGCCACAATCCGCGCCGACCTCCTCCTCCCTACGGATCTACGGCGCCTTCACCCTAGGAGTGATCTCGTCCATCGTGTGGTTCTTCTTCTCCCAACAAGCCTAGTAGTAGGTAAATGAGAGTGGCCTCAAGGTGAGACAATCGCTTTGTTAACCCTGGGATTTTGTTGTTCCATGTCATTTGTCTTACGTTTATGAAAGTCGTTATTTTTCTCGGTCTTGCTAATTTACGTGTAAGTGCTTGCCTAGCCGTAGTCAACAATTGAGATTTCCCAAAGCTTGAATTGGGAACGAGTTTTAATTTGCAATATTCTTACTTGGATAATCTTTTGTTAAATTTCCAAATACAAAACCTGGAGTTACAAACATATTACATCAAATTCCTTACTAGAAATCTGAAATATTTCAGATTTTTCTCACAAAATCTGATAGGAATTCCAACATTTTCCCCACAAAATCTGAGAAGAAATTCGATTTCTTTCTTGAAAGAGAAATAGAGTTTGGGAGAGAGGATGGGTTTCAATACTACAGTGAGGTGTTGATTGGGAAGAGAGAAAGTGGGGAGAGAAGTAACCCAAGAGGGGCAATTCACTCAAAACTCTCGACTTGGGGAGCTTTCTCGGGCAAGAAGGAATTTCTTACAAAAATCTGAGGTGAACCTCCAGATTTTAGTAGAATAGGATGTAGAGAAAATTGGAGGAGTCAAGCCTTACTGGAGATGGGAAGGCTGATAGTAACTGCCGAGCTACAGCTTCTGCACTAGAAATTTTGTCTGAAATAGTTATGAGAGAGGAGGAAGGCTATGGGGGCAAGAGAGGCTGTGGGGAATTAATTCCAG